ATATTGTAATAGGAATTTATTGTAGAAAAATTTATAATGAATGGGAGAGAGGGGGAACCCCGGCCAAAATACATGCGACTTCAGATGAACTGTTCTAAAGCATCTAGTAATAATCAGAAGCCAGCCTCTTTGTATTGAATCAATCTTAGGTTCTCAACCTGACAAGCTCCCCTGATAGCGACCCCAAGCTCCGATACCGTACATAATCTTAGGTATAATAACATTGTCATACAGATTTTTCAGAATATCACTCTTGACCTGTAAAGTATTAACGTTAAACTTAGTCCTGTAGAAATTTAAGATCTTCTCGGTTGCTCTATAGATATTCTTAAAATGTTCTATAAAAGTCAGTAGTTTTCATTCAGTGTTTTTCACCCAGATATTTAATTGTACTATAAAATTTGATGTTTTTGTTAAGAAATTTAAGTCTTGGATTCCTTACTTTTTTCCCTTCTTTTGGGAAAAAAATTCCACAAGTTTTATCCATGTTAAATAAAATATTTTCTTCTTTAGTCCAACGGATCTGTATCATACATCCTTGGCTACAAGAAAATCTTAGTGTATGAAAACCCTTGTGGTATCGGACGTGGACCTATGGCACGCTTGCGGTAAGCGTTGTCGTTGCTGATACACCTAACATTCTTACAAACATTTGTCGATCGATACATAATCGTTGCGAGGAGTGTATTGCAGGCTGTAACTTCGAACACCTGCTTTAACAGACTCATTTTAAACAATACTGTTGTGTAACTTTTATTTATTTATTAAATACTATTGTGTTGAACAGATACAGTGTAACACAGTCCATTAATCTATACAAGGCCAGATGTGGTAGTCTCTTTATTATTATGGAAGCACCTAATAGGTGGGACACCATCGCCTCCTATCAAGGGACGGACAGTTGCAACCATGCCTTCTCTGGGATTCTCTCTCGAACCTTCTCTCGAACCCAGGCCTTGGATCTTCTCTCGAACCCAGGCCCTTCGGTATCGCAGTCAGGCTTCCCTAACCACTATACCGTCTGGGCGAATCTGTATACTCTTCTTTACCTAATAATTCCTTATTATTTGTGACCTCTTTTCTGTCTTTCGGTTTCTGTAGATGCGACCATATGTTCCTATGTTATTAGTGCCAGTATATATATATATATATTAAATTAATTTTTAAATATTAATTTTAACTCTAGTCATTTACTTGCTATTTTCTCAAAATTACACTGTTTAAATTTCTTTTTTTAGTAATTCAAAACATTTGTTTTTACTTTTGGATTAGAATTTTACTTTTACTATATGGATGACGAAAAACAATTTGAGTAATTGGAAGAGTTAGTTTTGGCGGGCAACTTTCCCTTGATAAGTCTGTCTGTCTCCTGCCTGCTCAACAATTATTCACTTATGCAATTTTTTGGAATAATATATTTTTTTCATGGTTTTAGATATGTACAATTAATTTACATATGCTCTTAGAATTTAAATGATATTGTAAATTAGTTCGTAGCAATAATAATTATTTTTTTTTATTTTTTCGCAATTAAAATTTTGTCTTTTTTTTTTCAGTTTTTTTCACGTTCGCAAAACGTGCAATAATTGGCATTTTTATTATCAGCACTCATAGACTTCGCAAAAAGAAATTAAACTCAGTTTTATTTAGTCCAAAGGGGATTTGTTCCTGAAGGACTATTGTTTTCATTTTGCGATTTTACGCTTACTATAAATAATCACTATAAATGTCCGTTTCACTTTTCAAACTGTTGCCACCAAATGTTAGACTCTTGCATTATATTTGAAAAAATTAAATAATGAAAAATCGTCATAAATGTATGTATATTTCTCGTATTGTGATAAAACAACGATACATAGAGCCATCGAATTTTGAATGACTTAATCCTCCTAGGAATACGTGGGGCTCACCAGCGGCTGAGTGGTAAAATCGCTGAACGCTGGTAATTCGGTCCAAGGTTCGAATCCCGCGAACGGGCTGTCTGCAAGGGCATTTTCGTGGCTTTCCCCATGTGTAACGTGCATACGAGCCAGTTTCCCTTAGAAAGTTCTCCACGAAGGCATCCCTCCCCTTAGGCAGATAGCCCTAGTGTACTTTGCCGTATTCACAATACACCATACACCTACGAATATGGGCATGTGGAAGATCAAATTTGAAATTTGGAATTAATTTTATTATCCATTTCATATTTTGTAAAATTGTACCGAATTTTTGAGTAACAAACTCAACGATTTAAAAGCGAGCAATGGCAACACTCTACGGGGGGGGGAGTAAAACCTTTTTATCTCTAGTGGGCGCGGAACTGTGTATCGGAATTTCTAAAGATATGCTCATTTTAAAGTTATTTTTGGACATTGCTGCTTAACCGAATTTTATGGTTTAAGTGCAAAGAACACGATATTTAATAAATAAAGGTAAAACACAAAACGTTAAAAAAACGCCCCTTTGGACGTAATTTAAAATCTGAAAGCTTTCAGATTTTTTTTGGGAGGGTGGGCTCTTTATTTATTTATTTATTTATTTATTTATTTATTCATTTATTGGGATTAGAAAAAGTCATCAGGAAACCTGCGTATATAAAATCATATATATAGTCTGTTATAAATATCTTATTATGATAATGCAAAAAGAAAAGCAAATTACATGATTTAGTTTTGTATCAAATTGGTTACTTTTATTTTAAACCAGCATTCATAACTATAAACATCAAATCACTTTTCGGTAAAATTTAATAACAGCTAATTAACCTTATATTTTGGGAGCTCGTAATTACTCTTCCTACAGAGAGAGAGAGAGAGAGAGAGTTTACGTAACTATGTAATTATCTTGGGATCAGAAATTTATTTATTAGTCCCAAAGGACGTACACATTTACTGACGCTATTTAATAGAAGTTCATAGCACTTCCCTCTTACAAAAGAATGACTTCAATTATCGATATGACTTTTGATGCTGAGAGTAAAAATTGTTTAATTATGGAGAAATTATTGGTTAATTATCGCAGGTAGCAAGCTACAGTATTTCCTGTTTTTGAGAACATTAAACCGTCATCAGATAGAAGGAAAAAGATTCGATAATTATGCTAAAAGATGAAAATTAACGAATAAAAATAGTAATATTATAACTATTTTCTCCCTCCTTCGAACATAGCTTCATGATGCAACGTTAGCACATTCATCGCGAATTCGAGAGGTCCAGGTTCAAGTCCCGGCGAACCTTATTTTTCTCTTCTCCCGTAATAACAAGAACAACAAAAGTGTATTACACATTATTAATTATTAAGTTTCAATAAATCTATATCTTCATTCAGTCATTATAATCATTAAATTACTGCCCTATTTCCATAGATTTACATTAAATTCTATTTATTTAATACTTGCAAGCTTCGTAAATGCTGTCAATCTAATAATAAAATAGATAATTTGAAAACAGCTTAATATTTATAAATATTTATGTTGGAAATATGGTTTAATTATTTTTAAAGCATCATTAACAAAAAATTAATAATTAGAATAATTACTCTAAATCATTACGTAATTTATTATACTTCTCTCTACTTTTATATTACGATATACAGAAATTCTCTTTTTTATTAAACAACTATAAAAGTTAACAATAGTTCAGTGAAATAAATTTTGTTGCCTGTTATTAACATTTTCACTTCTGTATAAATGAATTGCAAATGTATCCACATTTGCAATGTACACATTTTTGTAAACTAAAAATTGGATAACGTGTTTTCTTAGAAATGAAAGTTAATGCTTAAAGCGTTGAAACGTATTAACAACTTCATTAAGAAATTTAAGCTCTTAATGATACAAATGCCGTAATGGAAAATACCATAAATAATTACATCTATTTAACTTTTGTAGATTTGCGTTGAATGACACACTAATTTCACATGCCCTGCCGGTCTGGCCAACATGATTTTTTTTTGTCATTATGCGTTGAATATCTTGGTGAAATATTAATTACAACAGAAAAGTTAATGAACTTATCAAATCTTTCTTGCCATGAACTTTTACCGCGTCATGAACTTTAAAAAAATGCCGGGAAGACGGGAAAAGTTAGGGTCACGTCGCAAAACCTAGGTAGACCAAAGGCAAAAAACTGTACCAAAACAGTTGTGGCATACTGTGAAGAAGACAGCTCTGGTTCACCATTCATTTGTTTGGAGTGCTTCAATACAACACATCTCAAAATGCGCGCATAATATTTAAGCTTACATGCTATATGCATAATAATTTTTTTTATTTATGTATTGTTATTATGTTCTATATTGCATTAATTTCTTCACACCATTTTAGTAGCGGTGATAACACTTAAAAATGTTAATGTGCTCCTCACATTAATATAAATTTACTCGAATTATGTGTTTTTTGTAATCTTGGCTTCGCCGGTCATCTTTGAATCCCATGGCATTACGAATAAACTCAGTGCCGGTCACCGCTGACCCACATGGCATTCAATATGTTACAGAGCTATGTGCTTTTACTTATGTAGTATGTTGTATTAAATGAATATGGCAACACGGTCGAATTAAAATGTTTCCGAATATAAATAAATAAACATCTTTGGGAGGAACGGAAAATAATTCAATATTTTTAGCAACAGCAACGTTTGAAACTTTAGGCAAATTTTAATTTTTTTAATTAAAAATTATTTAAAATCACCTTGAATATCATTTTCATATTTATCATGGAAATAAAATACCCAGTGGCTTTCATATTTTTGAAATCGCTGCTTTTTCATCATTGATTTTAAAATTTCTTGTTGATAATGATACGATATGACCAATTTTAGTAATTTCTCGACGAAACTTGATCAGTTTTTCGGAGATTAATGACGGTATGGGGTATAAGATCCATACAGCTTTTGATTATCTGCCTAAAATTTCATAATGAGCATAAATCATTTTATATTTCATATTTTTCTAAATGGGCATTTGATTTTTATTTTGGACTTCATTTATAATATTTACATCTTACTTTCTTTCTCTAGATCGGACGATGAAAATCCTGCTCTGAAAATTCCGTGGCCAGAAATTTCTGTGATTAATGATGTGATAACATTAAGCAGACAAATACGCAGTTTCAAGTAAGCCATATTTTAACTGTTTTGATACAAGATATTTTAACACAAAAATGCCTTCAGCAATAAAATAATGGAATCTTTCTAAATAATTCGATTATTTCAATGTTGCTGTTATCATTTTTCTTCATGAGATAACCATGCATGAATCATTGTAAAAAAGTTTAAGCAAATTCAGTTCAAAATAACCTTCTTTTTTTTGTGATCTTTCCTTAAAATGATTAACGCGTATTTATGAGTTTCAAGGTTAAGAAAATGTATTTATCTTTGCTCTAATTTTTTTTTTCCGTCTTAAATTCTTTATATATATATATGTACATTTAATTAAAATTAAATTCTTGAATATCAATCAAAATTGTTCATATACATCTGTATTTAAAAGTAGACTAAAATCACTCATACAAATACTCTTTTAAATACTCCCAAATGATGAAATTTCAAATTTTAAGAAGTCGTAATTTTGTGTTTTAACCGCAGTTACACATCTTGTGTTTTGGAATCTTTATGCATGATCCATGAGAAGTTTTTTAATAGTTTATCTGAAATTTAACCTACGACTATAAAGTAACGCTACACTTTTGTGATAAATTGTGAGAAATGTTTACTGGCACCGTCATGCTTTTTAATTTTAAGGCTCTGTTATTCAAAAGAGGAGAAAAAAAATATTTTAATGTAGTTTAAGGTAAATTATTTTAATTTATAGCAAAGGTAAAAATGCTTTTGCAAAATAAACATGATTTAAATAATTAATAAAACTCAGTAATTAATATTACTTTAGCATTTAAGAGCAGATTAATTTACTCCTGTAGATAGCAGAGTGCTATGTTTGCCACCGACATTTACGCTAAGCCTCTTTTATTTGAAATTATCTCTAAGTAAAATTGAATTTTAGCAATTAATGACTGGTAAAGTTAGGCTGCATATTTAATGTCTATCCAAATAGTAAAGTCTAAAAACAGAGCCCCTTCCCCCGAAAAAGTATGTTTCCGTGCAATAACACACGAATGCCTTTACATGTATATACATATCAATTAAATATATATATATATAAAGAGGGTCTGAAATTTCAATGCCTAGTTTTATTTAAATGAAAATTTATGCTCTCAAAGTAATTCTGTGGCAGATTTTTATTTCGCGTTTAGGATTTCGGCTATAAAATTAGTTTTGTTCGCAAACTACCTTTCTCATAATCGTGAAACATTTGTGTATCGTATCTGATTTCTGTTTCATTAAATTTCATGTTATTAGTACTAACTCCTGATTCTTACACAAAAATTCAAAAAACGTTCAAAAAGTATACGCTTGATTCCAACGCATTGAATTTAAAATGAATAAATAAAAACGTGATTTCAGAATTTTTATATCCATGTATAACTTAAATAGAAATCTATAATCTTATCACTGCATCACACATACACGTTTAAAATTAGGTTAAAAAGCAATCATAGATTGGCGGAGAGTTTGAACAAAATTCTGTCAATTTCGAGGACGTCGAACATGAGTCCCTTATCTTCAGGGGTTAAAATTTTTTTTTATGTTTTTCAAAATATTCTTGTGCGAAATACACGAGTTTCAAAATATTCTCAAAACAGATACAAAGGTTATCATGAGCACCGGAGTTTTCTTTGTGGTTTATTCTTTTTTAGAAGTCTTTTTTTTTTTTTTTTTTTTTTTTTTTTTTTCCATTTTTCTTTTTAATATCTCAACAATGAGCATGATTTGCGCATAATTTAAATAAAAAGCTGGAATTACGATTGTAGCTGAACAACAAATAGCTTTTTTCAAGTCGATCTTTGCAGGGCTAATATTTTAAGCAAAGCCATTATGACGTAAAGCTCCAAATAGTACTGTTCGAGAACAGAGCGAAACATTTAACTCGAAGAGTTTACTGGGGGGAAAAAAAAAAAAAAAAAAAAAAAAAAAAACATATCAGAGGCTGCCTTTTTCTTTTCTTTTCTTTTCTTTTTTTTTTTTTTTTAATTCCTTATTTGAGATATAAAACAAAAGTGAAAAATACATTTCCTCAAAAATAGAAACTGTCTTCGAACACACCACAAACAATATTTAAAAAAAGTAAAATCTGAAGATTACAAAATATTGATATTAAACTTACATAATCAATGCTTGACAATCAAGGCTCGTTGTTTATGTTGTATAGTTCCTAGAATATTTGATCCTTCTTCGCACCTAAAATTAAACTCTTGAACTGCATGCTTTGCACTCTGACCGTAACGTAACCTTCACATTCAGCCTTGACAACAATAATCACGGAGGGCGGGTCTGTAGGCGGCAACGTTTCAAGGTCGAGCCCTGCTCTTGAAACAATTTTTTATAGGCAACAAATTGTATGCAAGTAGGGGAAATTCCGGTCCCAAACCGCTTTTGAAAGAAGCGGTAGAATGAGCCAATTGTGGAAGACTACCGTAATGGGTTTGAGTTCGACTCGAACGCATCTTATTATACTGATTCAACTGCCGACATTTATATTAGGTTTGCGATAGATTATGTTAAACATGTGCTCGAATAAATGCTTGATAGGGAAAGGATTTCCGTTTACCGCTATATGTGCTGTTTTGCCTTAAATTTGGAAATATTTTACAGACATTTGATGAAAAAAATTATTCTCTTTATTTTCAACTACTTAATAAAATAGTAGAAATCTAAATTAAATAATCTGTTGAAAATCTTGAAAAACATATAGTGTAAGAAACTAAAAGAAAAAGGCTGATTATAAATCCTTTTGCCCAAAATATAAATAAAATAATTTCTTTTTTGATTTTTAAAGCATATCCTAATAAATTCAGAAACGGAGTATATCAGTTTGAAATTTAAAATTAAGTCCAAATTCATTCTTGATGATGGTTTTATAGTAAAATTCTGTCCATTTCGAAGTTGGATACAATGATTTTCAAGGAACAAAAAAAAAAAAAAAAAAAAAAATCTTGCCAATTTGTTTACAATATATTATGATACTGCTAAAGTTTTTTTTTTTTTTTCCCTCTTAAATGAGAAGAACCCCTTTTATCTCTCCTTGGAAGTGCACAGCGTTTTTTTAATAACGTCAGTCTTAATCTGAAATTCGGTTTGGTTTAATAAATGTCTTCTCAAGGCGTTTTATGTTTATATTTGTTGTGTTTAAAAAACTGTTTTGCTTCTATCACTCAGTATCATTATGCACCTTTAAAAATTTACTGCTTTTTAGTTTAAATGATAATGTTAAAAATATACGGCGATTTAATCTCGGAAATTAAAATTCTTTTCAGAATTTTTTAAGTGCATTACAAATGTTACCTTTTAATATATTTCATCAGAAGACCAGTTCCAAACTGGCTTGACATTACGCATAATTGAAACATGACGTAATCATATCTTTCCTTAACGAAAAAACAGAGTTATAATATTGCGAAGACATGAATGTAAGGTATATAATAAGGTAATCTTACATGTGAATTTATATATATGGATTATGTATATATGGTATACATAATCCATATATACATATCTAAAGAGACTTAAATACAGGTATATATAGATTTAAAGTAATTTATTCTTATTAAAACCTTTCCTCATTGTTGCCAGCAAGCTAATAATAAAACTTGCTGCAGGCTCATTAAGAAAGCGAGAGATTATCTAAAATTCAGTCGCAAAAATATGCAGTTTAAAAAACCTTGCATCTGAAGTCCACGAGATTTAGAAACTAGAAACTTCTCTGTGGAACCATCCATAAGGGTACAGAAATATATGCAACATAAAGAAATGCTTTTTTATGCTGCTAGAATGGTAGCTCGATGTGAAAAATCCGAAAGCCGCAAGTTTTAGAAATTTGAAACTTTGCTACTAATTCATGCCCTGTCTGTGTTTTTGTTAAAAAATAATCATTTTTATGAATTTAACAACTGTGGATTTTTATTGTTTTTGCTTTCAATATGTTCCAATTCTGAAGGCCACTTCACAACTGTTCCCGTTCTTTGAAGTCCAAAAACACTCTTGGCAAACATGATAAACATAAAAAATGCTTATTGTTGTGCAAACTGTGAATTTTTCAACTACAGCTATTAAATAATTTAGATTGAAATTTGACATTTAATGTGTTTGTTTGGAATGCAAGGCGTTATAAGCGTTTATTCTACAGTATAACTAACAACGGTTAACATTCTTTCAGATCACTTATCTTCATCATCCCCTGAAAAAAAAAAAAAAAAAAAAAAAAAAAAAAAAATATATATATATATATATATATATATATATATATATATTTTTATAAAATAATGATATTTCAAAGTGCAATTAAGCAAACGAAACACATTTATATTATAAAAAAAAATAACAGATAGTATGTCTTTAGCTTTATATTGCCCGTATTCTGCAGCCGTATGATGGAAATTCCGTTCAGTATTGAACTTTAACTTTCAGAATAAATCTTAGTTATTATATTACATGAAGTGCTTTTTTAATAGCAATATCTTCTTTTTTGTTTTGTTATTATAATACTTCGCAAAAATAAGTGTCTGCAAAAAGCTAATTCTTTTGAAAATTTTTAAATGTCTGAAGTTATGAGCTCATAAATTTTTATAACTAGAATATGTCTTTCCCTTTTTCGCGATTACGATTTAGGGGAATAAAAGTACTTTATAAAATAGCGATTAATAATCAAGCTCTGAAAAATAAATAGAAAAATGAGCTGTGAAGTAGACGTCCGATTATTTTTAATTCTATCAAAACCACATGAACTCTCTCTCTAAACTGCTGAGTTTAGAGAGAGAGTTCATGTGGTTTTCATGAAATAAAAATTAAATGCCGACTAATTTGCATTTCCAGTGCAAAGCATTATCACGTGCTCATAAAAGAATCTACAAAAGAATTATTTTAAAGTTTATCAAAATTTATTCAGGCAATAAATACATCGACATGATATTTCGATAATGTATTACATTAAATGAAAATAAATTAAAAATTTTTCTCTTTATCTTTTATACAGAATCCTTAGTTCGGAGAATGCTCTTAGT